GACATCTGCCCTGCTGGGACAATCTCTGGGTGCATCCTTCAGAACCCTCTGCAGCTCTGTGGGGGTGTTAGCAGCACCCACCCCGTGCTACAGAGCCGTCTGAAAGGCAGAACCTACCTGGTGGTGACATCGCGTGCAGAGCACAGCCTTTGAGGGGGAATWGCTTCTGATGGCAGAGCCCTGTGAGTGACTGAGGCCTTGTGAAGTGCTCCAGGCATTGGCTCCCTGTTCATTACATTTCTGCAAAATGAGGGTTGGGTAGGAAAATTGCTCTGTTTTGGTACCAGAGAGGTGGGGAAAAGCCTCGTCCTGCTGCTGCAGGATTGCTGCAGATGCTGTGAACACAGCACARCTCTGGGGTTGGCCCCCCAGGTGCCTTTTGATCGCTGAATGGGCTGTTGGCTGGGTCAGGAGATTAACTTAATGTGAGCTTTAGAGCTGCTCTGACTTGGGGACTGATTTTTGGTGTTTTGTTCATCACGATTAGTCCCTGGATATATGAGAAAGTGTCTTTGCAGTGTCATTTTTTTCCTCTCTTTCCAATTTCTGCTTCTTAAAAATAAAACTCAGATCTCTCCTTGGGCTAACARCAGAATATTTTTGGGTGGAGTGCTCTCCACAGGATTTTTCCYATTTTTCCTCCAATGTTCCTATCATTTCAGGACTTGGACAATATTGTTTCACTGTGGCTTCCTTCCCTAGTCTTGTCTGTGTTAGGATTTCTATTCAGCAGGAGTGTTTAGAATTGAGGTTAGAACAGCATAAGCAACRTAATAAATCTGAAAATCAGCTCTGAGATCTGATATGTGAAGAAAAGGAAAATGAATGTTTTACCTGTTTGAGGTACACGCTTTAGAGAGGAATTCAGCTGCCTTTTAGAACTTGAAGAAGGTGTATTTTATAAACCTAAATTGTTTTAAAYATTTACAGCTGCTTGAGGTCTCCTTCTCCTTGCTCTGATGTATATAACTCAAAGGTCTGAAAATCAGTGCAGTGTTTGCCGTTTTTGGAGCTGCTGCAGACAGTGGTGCCAAGTGCTTTGGAAGACGGATAATAAGCCAAGCCTGTGTCTTCAGAAATGGGCTTCACTTTACGCTCAGTTTAATTTTCTAATGCACTGGTTCTAGAGCCTTCTGCAGCCTCAATTCCACTCTTACAATTTATAATTTTCTGCTGCAAATGCTCTGCATGATCAGGGTCTAAAAATCTCAGGCTTGCACTCTTAGAACTGCTCTGATCTGTTATTAAATAGTGAAGATTTTTTTTCTCAGTGCATTGTGCAAATTTAGGAAGTTGTATTTCCTACATTCTTGGAGTTTGGGTGTTTTAAAGCAGGAATTTCAAAATCCAGTAATAGTGGCCATTAACTCCTGTAAACCCTTCTGTGACATTGATTCCAAAAGGAAAATAGTATCTCTGGAAGATTCCTTGTTTGTAGTGTACTGGATTATGTCAGAGTAAAGTGCATAGAGTTTCACAAATTAATTTTTGAACGGAAGAAAAATCTCACGTTGTGCTTGTGGCACTTGCTCCTTCCCAGAGATGTTTGTCACAAAACTCTCTGTTTTATAGAGTAAACACAAACATTAGTAAGCAGAAATTAAAGATATTTTATCTCTGAGTTTCCTCTCAGAAGCTGAAGAAAATCTCATTCGTATTTAATAATTTATACAACAAACCCCTAGTACATCAAACTGGGAATATTTGCCCAAATGTTTACTTTGTGCATTTTGTATGAGGCCTTGTAACTATCTAAATAACTGATTTTCATTTGTGATTTGACAAAAGAAAACATTCAGAGCCATTTAAAGAGAACACCCAAACTGCTGAGCTGGTGCAAAAAACTGCAGGGTAGGGCTTGGCCCAGTCAGGGCTTTGTTCAGCTTTGCTTGACTCTGGGGTGAGTCCTGCTTTACCAGTGCTTGTGGGATTCAGTTAACCTGGCAAATCAAACAGCCTTGGAGGCTGAAACTACCAGAAAGAAAAATTCTGTCTATTTTTAAACAAAGCAAAGAGTTTTTAGTTTTTCACACTCCCTTTTTCAGTGGAAAGGCTGTTTCAGCTTCCTGAATCTGAGGGTGGGTTAACTCAGCTGCTGGTGGGTAGCACTGGACATTGGATTTTACTGCCTTGAGGAAAAGGTGACTTTAATATTATGTCCAGAGAAATATTCACAATGCTGGTGGGGCTGGTGCTTTTAATTTAGCAGTTGATGCTGTGCCAGCACCTTTGGAGAAGTCAGGGTGCTGAACCCTTCCCAAACCTCCTTCAGAAKGAAAATTGGAACCCTGATGCTGGGAGATCAGAGCAGAATTCTGTTTTTTTAATAAGTTGCCTGTCAATGCTCTGACACATTGTTCACTTAATTGGGTTTGGGAAAATTGTGAGAGCTACTCTCACAAAATGGTCAGCAGAAAAATCCGAGTCCTCTTCCAGACTCCAGAGGACTCCACAGCCCTGTTCCATGTGGGAACAGTTCTGGCAATCAAATCAGTGTTGCTATCCTCAGCTGGGATAGTCCTGGGTGGAAACAGGATGAAGAGCTAGGAGGGAGCTGGATACAAGGACTGCTGAAGCAGAGCAGGATTTCTCCCTTAACATGTAATATGTGAAGAGCAGTGTGACCTGCCCTAAGGAGGCTGTTGGCCTCCTTTTTGTGTGATGGTTTTACTGCTCCTTTTGTGGTCTGAACTGTAAAATAAACCCAGAGAGAGGGAGCACTTTGCTTTCTGTGTTTTATTGGATCTGAGTGCTTGTAATGCTCATTTATCCATGCAGAAATGCAGCAAGATTTGCTGTGGGGTCTTCCCTCAAAGGTACCGTTGGAGAGTCAGGAATATTTGCATTCATCCTCACCATTTATTTTGTCAGTAACAAATTAGACTTTGGATTTTTTTTATTTGCATGTGGTTTTGTGTAAAGCTTGGTGTGGAGAAGCCTCTGTGTGAGATGTGACTAAAGAGGATGAATCTACTCCCTGAAAAAGATGGCTCTGGCCASGGGCAGCTGTGTTGTTAGGGCTGGGAACTCAGGAATGGTGTGTCAGGAGGCAAAAAATAGGGAATAATACCATTTCAGGGATGACAGTGTTTTGAGAGCTGTTGCATGCAGAGATGCTCATCTCATAGCCCCAAAAACTGCCCAGTCTTAGGAGTCTTGCTTTCTGCATTGCATATTATTCCTACCTGGATCCAGGACAAGAGACAGGGCAATAGGTCAGGCAGACTTGTGCAATATTTTAAATATCCCAGTTGTTCATGTGCCATCTTGGCCAGATGTTGCTGCTGTGGACAGGACACCTGACAGCTGAGAGTCCCACAGTGTGTATATAAAATATACATGGGTTTTCAGGAATGAATGGGATAATGAATGACATTCCTGCTGATTTATATCAATTTTGTTGTGGAAATCAGTATTTTGTGGGGTGGATATGAGCTGGCTGAGAGAGAATGAGTAACTGGAGCAGAGGGCCTTGGTGTACCTTGCTGCAGCAGTGGAAAAAGTTAGGAAGTAACTGAAGCACAGGCAGGCATTCCGTGAAATCTTAACTCCATCCTCACGGTCACTTTATGCTTGAATAATGAATTTTTTCCTGATGAAGATTAAATCCTCTGGATCCATCAGTGAAGTCAGCTTTGGGAACACCATAAATGCTCAGGTGTGGCTGTGGGTAGTTGTTGGTGACCAGGAGGGTTCTTTGTCACCTGGGAGCAGTTCATGAGGTCAAGGAGCACCAGGAAAGGAAGGTGGTGGTGGGAGAATCAGCAGTTATGTGTTTGAGTGCATGGAAGAGCTCCTTGCTCTCCCAGGAGCTCCTGAAGCTGCTGCTGGGGATTTTCGGGGTGCAGAGGGAGCAGCTGAAGGCTGTGCCAGCAGCTCATCAGAGCCTCAGGAGAGGGGGACCCATGAGCCAGACTTCCCATAAGCCAGACTTTATAGCCACAAATCCCAGAATCCCAGGTGGAGCTGGGCTGGGAGGGACATTAAAGACCATCAGATTCCAGATCTAGGTCTCACTGCCCTATGCACCAGGGTGTTCTCCAAATGATGTGCAAGAATTAAAAACAGTTTCACTTTTGTATGTACAAAGGACTGATTTTTCCTTCTTAGTACAAGTTTTGAATGTGTTGCTGAACAGCAAAAATGTTCAAAAATAGGCARCTGCTTTTTCTTTTGAAAATACAAATACGGCATGTGTAAATGAATTACTTGAGTTGCCTTTATAGCAAAGGCTTTTCCAGCTCTGACCTTTCTTCAGACAAATGTTCTGGAATTGGAAATACGGTGGAGATGCTGCTTTATACCCAATCCATTGTGAATAATCCAAGAGTTTAAGATGATTAAATCTGTCTATCCAGAAGGCTAATCCTGGGTGTCCATGCAAAGCAATGGAGGTTTAAGAGATCTGCCAAACGCTCAGGCTGGAGAAGACCTTATCTGACATTGCAAGGAAGTTAAGATACAGTCATACTTCCTACCTGTCTGGGAATTTCAACATCCTCCAATGAAGTGGTGTATTCCTGGAATCTGTGAATGCACCTGTGGCTATTGGGTGTCTCAGAGCTGTGCCTGAAGCTCAAAACAGATGGAAAATCCAGAGGATTTGAAACAAAAACAACTCCTGGAAGGAGATCACCTTGCAGCTTGAGTTAGGACTACCTCAYATGCTTGCTGCCTCTGAAGGTGGGGTCTTTTTGGAGGAGGGGAGTAGAGGGAGAGACAGGTGAATATTCCAACAACTTAACTTCCAGCAGTATTGCAGCAGTCCTGGCTGGAACCTTGCCTTGCAGAGCCTGTGTATTTCTCAGTGAAGCCATTGGATTTTCCTGCTGTGGCAGTACATTTTCTTTCTGAGTCACAGTGTACAGTTTAAACTCGAATTTTTTTAATTTGGATAACTGTTGGTTACTGATAAGTACCCTCTAATAAAACCTACTTTGGTAGCTGTATGCATTGAATTAATGAGCATTTCTTCCTTTCTCCTTTGAATCCTTCCAAAGGCTCTATGTGTCTGCAAGGAAATCCAAGAAAACAACCTCTCCTTTGGAATGGTGCCGGCAGGTGCTGGATAACCCCAGCCCCGAGACTGAGGCTGCCTGCAGAGCTCTCATCAACAGGCTCGACCAAGGTAGGGCAGCTGCAGCCTCTGCTGCTTTGAGGTTCCTTTCAAATCKCAGAATCTATGCAGGACAACAGAGCTCAGTGTTTTCAGGCTCTTGAATTTTTAAATTTTGTTAATATTTCAACATTTTTTAATGTAAGAAATGTGTAGAGAAGAAAATGTGCTGGTGGGGAGAGAATGATGGAATACTGTTACTGCAGCTTCCTTCTGTGTAAGAGCTCCTGGTGTTGAGTGTTCCTAATGGTGATTATTCCTCCTCTGGATATCCTACTGGATGTTCCTTACATCCACATGTTCTGTATCTTACCAGCTGTGGTATTACCTGAGGAAAAAAGTTGTCTGGTGCTCAAAGCTTACAGCAATGAAATATTAAACTTGAAGAAATGGTGCCACTTGGAAACCAGGTTTTTCCTCCAGTTTTAGCATCACCTAAAAACATGTCCTGGTGGCTGTGTTACCTAATCTTGGGGGGCAATCATTTATTTCATCTGCCAGAAAGGAAAAGCTGGAATGTTGTGTGCAGTGGTGCCATCCCTCCCACAGGTAGCGTTCTGAGGCCTGGCTTTACGGGTTTATTTTTCCATCTTGGGCTTTCAGTGCTGTGAGAGCTCTTGGAACAGATACAGTTTACAGGATAAAAATGAGTTTGTTCTATTTYCACCTCTGTCCTGCGTCACCTGCAATGCACCTGGTACGTTTCCCACCTTTGTCAGTTCAAATGTTYTCCAGGTTTGTGTGTCAAATGGGCTGAAATCCTGACAGCCAGGACACTGAGGGGGTAGAAATGAATCAAGAATTAATTTTTACCTTCTCAAGATTCTCTATCATCCAGCTCTCCTGGTCAGGATTTGCTGCAGCTTTATTGCAGAGATGTGCTGCAGCCTCCTCTGTACAGTTTGACTCACAAATCTCTAAAACACAAAAGCTGTGTTTGAAAAGCTGACATTTCTGAGAGAATTAAAGCTTTGAAGCTCAGGGATGTCGTTTAAGTGCTGGAAATACAACCCCCAGTTGGGTACCCGAGTTTGGTGTCTGAGGCTTTGCTGGTGGGTGGGTTTGTCTCCATGGGAATGCAATAATTCTGATTTCAGTTAGTGCAGTTTGACCTCTGGCTTGGAGTCTGAGGTCGCTGCTTTGGGGGTTGGTTTGTTTTTTTGTAGTTTTCATACTGACAGTGTTTGKCCCTGCTTGAGATCTCAGGCTGCTGCTGAGATTAACCTTGGCATTCCTGATTTCAGATAATTGAATGTGCTTAGAGAACAAACTTCATTTGCTTTTGTAAACCATCTGTACTTTAAAATTTGAATGAAACTCCCTCTTTTCTTTCCAAAATGTGTCAGGCTTTAATTATACTTAGTCTGACCTGGTATTTGTGGGAGAAATAAAAAACAACCCAACTTACTTATGAAGTGAACCTTTATTATTTTCTTGGCTGATATTCTGTGGTGGGGAGAACTGAGTTCTGTGGGCAGTTCAGCAGCCCCTTGAGTATGTCCAGATTATGGTGTGAGTGTTTTCCTCAGTGTTGTAGCTGCTCATTTATCCCTCTGGTAAGGATGGGTGTACCTGATTTTACTACCTGCCTTACTTTGGTTGGTTTATGAACATGTGAGTATGTGTGCTGAATGCATTTAATTCAAAGAGTTGTTTTTTATATTAATATGAAAATTAAATCCTTCAATCTAAAGGCACAGTTTTTGTGGGTTAATACTGTCTTGCTTCCATCAGAAACATTCAAAATAACACACATGTAACGTAAAGTTCAGTGAGTTCTTTAAAATGAAGGGGTGTAGAAATGGCAGATATTGATGAAAACAATAATTTGGGAAGCCCTGCATTGGAACTTTGTAAAATGCATGGCTTCTTTAAATCCAAGTTCGTCAGGAGTTACTCTCGGAATTCTTCAGAAGGGAAAAGGGCACTTAAAGGACACGAGTGGGGGACTGCGTACTGCTTTGCTCCCTGCAGCATGGCACTGGCACCATCAAGAAGTGCCTCTGGTACAGAATTTAATATTGTTTGATACTTCTGTATCTTGTTCTTTATCTTGCTCTCTGTTTCCAAAATAATTTGCTAACCTTTGTGGCTTTTTTGTATTTTTCCTTCTAGCCAATAGATGGAAAAACCTGTATTGCAGCCCCCTGGCATCTCCCAGCGCACATAACTTGAATTCCGAGGCAGGCTCCTGTAGCAATGCACTAAATTCTCCTGGGCACCTCAAATCGACTAACAAAGCACTACTAACCAGTGGCAGCTCAGGTATGGCATGGCACTGGAGCAGTGGGGTGTTTCAAATGCAGGGAGCAGTAGGAGTTGGCAGAGGGAAAGGTTATCAAGGCTGCTCATGGTGTTTTCCTCTGTTAATTTGCTCCCTTACTCACCTAGTTTTTGTTTGTGTGGGAGAAAACCTTTTTGCGTTATAAATGTTTTGTAGTTCTTTCTTGGGTTGGGTTTCTCTACTTTCTCTCTTTATATTTATAAATGGTACTAATTTTCAGTGGCTTAAACTAGGAAACAGTTGTTGGGGCAAAAAAAATCTTGCTCTTGAGTAATGTTGTAGTCTGTAGATGTGGTTTTTCTGAAGTTACTTAGATAACTTTCAGGGGCAAGTTTCTTCAGGGAATGTTGATGAATGCAGGTAACAGAAAGCGGCCAAAGTCTTCAGGGTGAACCCTTCAATTGCCTGAGAGGGCAGCTAAAACAAAATAACAAAAGCTTTCCTTCAGCCTTAATTGTGTTTGGAGAAAGATTCCSTACCTTAGAGGCAGCTCAGCCGCAACTCTTGTTGCAGCCTGATAATGATGGTTCTCCAAAATGCTTTGGCCTCCAGCCTCCTGCTGCCTGAGCCAGGAATACTCTTCCAAGAGCCTCATTTGTTATCCKTGGTGCAGTTCCTGCTGTTTCCCAGCACAAATGCTTTGCCTCTTGGCTCTATTATCAAAGGACTCTTCCTTATTTGTTTGTTTTCTGTGGAAATTGCTAAATCCTACTTTGCATGTTTCAAAGCACAAAGCATGTTTAACAGTGTCTGCCTTCAAACTTSATGTTAAATGAACTTTTTTCCCTTCTAAAAAAAAAGAGTTGCCTGTGGATGTTTTCACAGGTGCAGGTTTGTTTTTGAGRTCTGATTTTCTGCTATAAATAGAAATTAACACTTATCTCTGCTTTGCAAACAAAAGGATGCACGYAGGACTGAGGATTTGTGCAAGCTGAGCTGTGCAGAGAAACACCTCTAAGGCAATTGTTTTTCATAGGTTAGGAGGCAATCCAGGTGTCTGAGCACTTTTTCACACAGACACAGCTCCAGATGTGTAAACCCAGAGTGTCTGTAGCTTCTGGAAGGTTCACTCTGCAGATGTGCTGGATGAAAAGGCAGGCCCAGGACAGTTTTTGTCCTTTCAGGATTTACGCAGAGTTCATCTCTCAGTTGCCTCATTCCTGTGGCTTGTTCAAGTGCTAAAACAAGTTTAAAATTCCCTATTAACCTGACTGGCTTAAATCTTATTTTATTTCTAAGAAAAATAGCTTTTCTACCATTGAAATAGAAAAATGTTGAACAAGTTTTTCCATTGAAAACCAAACAAACCCTTTTGACAAAACCCAGATGTGGTTTCTATTTGAAAGCCATMATCAGTTCAGCTTCACAGATGGAAGAAGGTGCAGTTTTTTCCCCTCCTTGGCTATTTTTAGCTTGAACTGCAACTTGAAATGCAACAACCAGACTAAATCAAGTTGGATTGGGAGTTTTGCCTTTTAAAAAGCTGATCTCAAGGTCCAGCTGGATTTTTAATTGGTATTGAAGGTGGTGTTAATTACAGCAGGAAACCGTTGCTTGTTCATTACACCACATCCTACAGGTGCAAGCCCTACTCAGGAGGGATTTATTTAAACTCTTGCAGTATTTTCCTGACACCAGGAGGAAAAAMAATTGGGATTTTAATGGGGAATATCTTGACTTTGAGTGTGTATTTGTGCAAGACACGCACACAGATGCACCTTTAAGTTACAGCCACACTCCTGTCATTGTATCAGTTCCACCCTAAAGCTGGAAAAACTTTCCAAACAAGGAATTTGAGGCTGACTGGCAGGAAGCAGCTTGGTCAGTGCCCATGTAAGAAATACATTTTACACCTGGACTTCACACCTGTGTTTTCCATGTCAACAGTTGCTTCTCTTCCAAGCTGAAGAAATAATGTTGGGAACCTGCTGCTTTCTCCTGCCTGGCTGGATTTGATCACAGCTTGAAGTGGCTGCTCAGTTTTGCTGGGTATTTGAGTATTCAGGAGGTGACCTGCCTTCAGATCTACTCAGAACATGGCAGGAAAACTGAGCTGAAGGCAAGTCAGTGGTGAATTAAATCCTACAGGAGGCTCCTACAGGAGCCTGACTTTATTCCTGATTTGTCCCCTATGTGCTCCAGCCTGAGCTGATTTTATTGGAGTGATCATTTCAGTTCCCGCTTGTGCAAGATTTGTTTCTAAAGCTGAAAGTGATTTTGAATGCTCTTAGGCTTTTTCTTTTTTGTGATCTTGGTCAGATAGTGTTTTAATTTTGCTTTTTATGCATCTAAATCTGCATAATATTAATTGCAGCCTTGTTCTGGAGTTAATGAAGGTAATGATGCCCTCTCTCCTGAAACAGCCATGTAAACCCTATGGCTTTAGGTGTCTGCTCCAGGTTGGTTGTGTGAGGGACACATGGTCTCCTGTGACCTGTCGCACACACAAGCACATTTTTATATCCACTGATCTTTCTGTGTTCCCACATTTTTTTCATTAATGTTTATTTGCTGGAGTTTTTTACACAGAGCAGTGTGGGTGCTATAAAATGGGAGAGGAGACAGAGCTGTGCTCACATTGTGTGATAGAAAGATTCTCCTACCATGGGTGATGCTCAGCTTCCTGCAGGAGCAGCCATCCCCGATGCCAGGGGGATGAGGAGTGATCCCAGCTGTGATCCCACATTTCTGTGTCCAGGGCTGCTCCCAACCCTCCCACAGCTGAAGGGAAAATCCTGGTGTAACCTCAAAGTTCCACAGCCTGTCCCCCTCCTCCTGGTTCAGCAGCGAGTAGTACAACTCCTRTGCAGTGGAAAACACTGGCTGGCTTGACTTAAAAGTACAAAGAGGTAAAAATTTACACTTAGTCATTAATATGATAATGTTTTATTATTATTCTACAGAAGGAAAAGTGGAAAGATCCTCCCAGTTTGTTTCTTAGGAATTGCTGTATGAACAAGCTGTGTCCTTCCCTGTAAGAGATGCTTTGGTTTATCAGGAGAGGAAAAAAACGGATAAAGCTCAGGAAATGGGAGGAGGTGATTTAGAGTGAACTCCACTTTGCAATAGGGAGGACATGGCTGATTCTTGTGGTTGTCTGAAAGCCACTGGGATCCTCTTATTCCTGGGATCCTTTTACTACTCTAACTGCTCACCAAAACCCCAGGGCAGCACTTGGTGTAACTTTGCTGCTCAATTTCTCGATCAATGTTTGCCCTTTTCTCAAAATAAGTACAACTAACAGTGATATTTTAAATATGTTTCTAAGCTCAAAATCACCACACATCCCTCTGCCACCTTTTTGGCAGAATTCCACAGGGTTTTTTCCCCCACACAAAGACACCTGAAAATTGCAGCTTCAAAACTGAGTGTTAGAATTCCTAAATTCTTCCTTATTTCTCGCAGCCATACCTGAAGCTCCCAGCTGCAGTGATGAATTCCTRGGATGGCTCCCTGCTGCTCCTGGTGGGTTTGTGAGGTGCCTGACTGGGTATGTGTTCCTCTCCCCAAGGGTATCTGAGCATGCACTCGGCACTGAGCTCCCAGTCATCGGTGGACAGCGAGCTGAGCACCTCGGATGACTCCATCTCCATGGGATACAAACTGCAGGACCTCACTGATGTTCAGGTCATGGCACGGCTGCAGGAAGAGAGTAGGTTGACAGCACCTCCTTTGGGTTACTCTGGAGAATTTCAATGCTTCTTTTCCCCRATTAAAAAAAACGTTTGTGATTTTCAGGAGGTTCCTTGAAAAACCTATAGCCCCAAAATGCCAGCTTGGGAACTGGGTAACATCCTTGAGGTGACACSTCTTAAAGCAGAGGGAGTCTTGAAAGTACTCTCCAACCACCCACCTGTGGCCTTTGATATTAAACTTCTTCCATCACAGRCTGTCTGAAGGAGACCTGAGGTTTTGTGAGTGACAGTGGCAGCAGCAGCAGCTCCCAGTCACTGTCCCCTTAACTATCCGCTGGCTGTGACTGCCCTAGGGAACTGATCCAGGTGGAACAAAATAACACAGCAAAACGTTTTGCTGGTCAATTTTTGTTTTTCTGAGCAGGCTTAAATGCGGCCTGAAGTCAGTCACTCCACAGGGCTGCGTTTTACAAGCTGTTAATTTCACACAAGATACAAATCGTTTTTCACTGCTGTGTCGAGTCAAGCCAGGAGTTCAAGAGTACTAAAACTGAAAGAACTGAATTTGCAACTCAAGTTTTGCTCTGGTAAAGTGTTCACAAAAGCAGCTCTGCAGATTTAGCTTAAGCATAAAATGTTTGTGTCCCAGAGTGGGGGGATTTCAGGGCTCCAAAATCATTAAACCACTGGGGAAGTTTCTTCTGACTTCAGTGGGATTTGGCTAAGGTCCTAATTGAAGAGCAAGGTGGAACAAAGGGCTTTGTTTCTCTGCAAGTGAATCATTAATTTGATTTGCAGGATGTAGAGAAYGAAGTTCTCTGTCTTTCTTTTGGAGAATACTTACTTGTAGTGTTATGCCTTTATCAATTAAAAAAAYACTGTGACCCAGGAACTGGGACACTAGACCAAAAAGAGCCAAGGACAAAAGATCCTGTTACCACTTTTTTCTAGCTGAGGAAAAGTTGTATCAAGGTGAATAAAGCAAATAACAGCCTTTTCCTTCCTAAACTTGGCTATTTTTTCATGCTGCAAAAGTTAAGGAAATCCTGTCACATTCCAAAGTTTCCAGTGAAGTCGAAAATCATCCCAAATGATGAAGCTTTTCATATTTTATTGTGAAGGGAGAAGAGTTGGAAGCACCTGTTTTGTTTGTATTTGTTTGGGGGGGGTTGGGGTTTTTTTTGGGGTTTTATTTGGTTGGCTTTTTTTAAAGTTGGTTGTATTTTGTCAGGCAGGGAAACTTAATAAAGGCATGGGGAGGAGCTGTAAATAACCCAGGTGTCAGTGCAAGGCAGGTGTGTTTTCATTGGAGGCAGACTTCAAATCTTTGTTTCCACCTGTTGAAATGCTGGTGGATGCAGAATTAATGATACTAAAAGGTTTACTCTGAAAATTAGGCTCCCCATAGCTACTTAACCTACTGGAGCTTGCTGGCTGTGATGGCTGTGGTTCACAGTCTCAGTGGGATTAGGGAGCRCCCCAGCTCCAGGGAATGTTCACTGTGCTGTGATTATTCCATGCTGATACAGTGACTCTGTTCCAGTTTAGGTATTCCAGGAAGAGCAGGTGTTAACCTGACTCTCCTTCTAAGGTGGAGCAAACCACTGTCAGAGCATTGCTCTGGGATTGGTGTGGCTGGGTGGGCAATGTGCTGACCTTGCCCTGTTGCTGTGTCCCCAGGCCTGCGGCAGGACTGTGCCTCCAGCTCCGCCTCCGTGTCCCGGCGAAGCTCCAGCGCCTCCCTGCACTCACTGCGCCACGGCGCCTACAGCGACCAGGAGTTCGACACCTACAGCCTGGAGGACGAGGATGACTGTGATGGCTCGCTGCCCTATCGCAGTGCCCASAGATACTCCCCGTCCCCGCTGAGCTCCCCGCGCTGCCAGTCCCCCTCATCGGGCGGGGATTTTGGCAGGAGCTCGGCTTCCCGGCTGCGTGCCCCCCGTAGGGCCATACAGAACCCCATGCAGGAGCGCCTCAAGTACGCCAACAGCGAAGGTGAGGGGCTGCTGTGAGCAAGGAATRGGCTTCTGGCACATACAGATCCCCCTGCAGAGCTGCAGGCTGGGGGCAGAGTGCCTGGAGTACTGCTCAGCGGGAAGGGACCTGGCGGTGCTGGATATGAACCAGTGCATGCCCAGGGGGTAAGGCCAAGGGCAACGTGGCCTGGATCAAGAACAGTGGGGCCACAGGACCAGGGCAGGGATTGTCCCCTGTGCTGGGCACACCTTGAGTGCTGTGATCAGTTTGGGTTCATCACTACCAAAAGGACATTGAGGGGCTGGAGCATGTGTAGAGAGGGGAATGGGGCTGGGGTAGGGGCTGAAGGACCAGGAGCAGCTGGAGCTGTTTAGTCTGGGGAAGAGAAGGCTGGTGGGGACAGTGGGGACAACACAGGACCTGACTGCCGTCTACAACTCACTGACAGGACAGTGCAGCCAGGTGGGGTTGGGCTCCTGTGCCACATCCCAGGTGAATGGACAAGAGGAAGTGGCTTCAAGTTACACCAGGGGAGGTCCAGGTTAGGTGTTAAAAACAATTGTTTCCCTTCAAGTGAACAGGCCTTTGAATRAGTTGCCCAGGGAAGTGGTGGAGTCACCTTCTCCAGATGTGGCACTGGGGATGTGGCTCAGGGATGTGGTGACACTGGGTTGATGGGATGACCTTGAAGGTCTCTTCCAACCTGGATGATCCTGTGATTTCAAAAGCACTGCTGTTTAGTGGATACTAAGGACTAGGTACAGACTCYTCTGCATTTAAGTGCATGAGCTTTTCAAGAGAGAACCTTCAAACCATCACAAGCAGCAGCTGAGGCTGTGTTTGCTTTCAGAGGAGCTGAGGCACAGCATGCCCAACCTGGCCAGGAGCAGCCTGCGTGCGCTCGAGGCTGTGCGGAGCAGCCGCAGCCTGGAGTCTGACCTGCAGGTGCCCACCAGCCGAATTCCCAGGACTCAGCAGCGGTCAGCAGGTCAGTGCTACACCTTCCACACACCTCCATTCCCTCTTCTCCTTGACCAGCCTTCAGAGGCCTGCAGTGTTGATGCAGTCCCTTTTCCAGCTGTGTGTATTCCCTGCAGGTCTGGCTCCCAGCAAGCTCAGGTATTCCTCRGGGGCCGGGCAGTCCCTGCTGGCGGGGCGCCAGCCCGGCAAGGCGGCCTCAGGAACCAGCTCCTTGCTGTCCGGTAGGCAGGTGGTGAAACCCTGCAGCTACACTGCTCCTGTCTCCGGGGTCCGGAAGCCACAGCTCCACACGGGCTCTGCCAGCAGCAGCAGTTGCACTTCCAGAACCACCAACATGGTCACTGTGGCCAAAAGTTCCACCCTGAAAGCCCGGACGGCCGTGGGGGGGATGGCAGTGCCCAAGGGAAGGGCAGTGCCCCCGTCCCAGAGGTGAGTGGTGCTTCAAACCTCATGGACTGCTTGAATGTCTGCCTGTAACTCACTGATCAGAAACAGATCAGAAACAGTCACAGAATGGCTTGGGTTGGGAGGGACCTTAAAGCTCATCTCATTCCATAGGGATGTCTTCCACTAGCCCAGGTTGCTCCAAGCCCTGTCCTGGTCTTGAGATACTTCCAGGGATCCAGRGGCAGCCTCGGCTTCCCTGGGCAACCTGTGCCAGGGCCTCCCCCTTCACAGGGAAGAATCTCTTCCTTAAGTCTTGTTTATCCYTGATTCTAACATGGGTACAGCGCTGGATCTGAGCTGCTGATTAACTTTAGAAAGAGCCATGGAATTGTTAAGGTTGGAAAAAACCTTTAGGAATACCAAGACCAGCCCAGCATCATCATRTTCGCTACTGACCCATGTTCTCAAGTGCCACATCCACATGGCTTTTGAACRCTTCCAGTGCTGGGAACTCCACCACTGCCCTGGGCAGCTGTGCCAATGCACGGTTGTGGTTGGGAAGCTTTCAAACACAGAGTAGAACTCAGCTGGAAGGTTCATGGACAGTGAGGGGTCCCAGTCCCTTACATCCCACTGACATTAAGTTTTGCAGATGTGTGTGTGACCTGACAGGCTGGGACTCATCATTCCTTTTTACCACAGAATCTCTGACCAAATTATTCACTATTTCAATATTCCACCTGCTTAAAAAAAACCCAACCTTTTCAAAACAAAGCCAAAGAAAATGAAGAGGCTCAAACTTACATGTAAGAAATGAAAATTAACTTTATGGCACATATTTGGTACATAGCTCTGTTTTTTGGGGAGGAAAAAAACTTGTCCAAAGGACTAATAAATTTGAGTGTGGTTCATGCAATCTTCCCAGCTGACCTATTTTGGTACCTCTGGTAAAATAAGTGGGGTGTTTCTTCCTTAGCCTTTAGCCAGGTCATTGTCCAAAGCTTAATCAGGTTTTAGAAGGGTTTGAAAAGTGGGACAAACTAACAAGGCTTGATTTAAATGTTATTACCATTATAGTAACTTTAAACACAGGGTGAAAGCAGAACATTGAGCATCACTCTCTAAAACTTGAAATGTTTGTTCTTGCTATTTTTACAGCTATTTGTGCTACAATCCAAGCTTTCATGATTGAGGGAAATTAAATTGATTCAGCCATAATTACTATATGACTGATATCAGACTAATAAGCAATCACGTCCCATTGGAGCCTTACAYTGAAATGTATCTACTTACTTTAAAAACATACTAAAAAGGGAGTTTTTAATCTCTTAATTTATATCAGTATTCTACAGACCTGATTATTTTTCAGATRTTCAGTTATGTTTGCATGGAAAAATATTTCTTTTGGACTCAATCAGGGGCTAAAGCCACAATGGTGTTAACTTGGCAGATATCAAGGTTTAAGCACCCTGTGACAGGCACTGAATTTCCTTTCAGTGCCTGAAATTGCTGCTGCTGGTGCTCAAGATGTGACAGCAGCACCTCACCCATGGCAGGGAGATGTTGGCACCCCAAAGCCCAARCCCATGCCCACCACAGGCATTTGCCTGGAGCTGTCCCTGACATGTGGTTTTGTCTTGCCCAGGTCCCTCCAGGCAGCACAGAACCCGCAGGCCTCCGAGGATGACTCCTGGAAGGATGGCTGCTACTGACACCCCCCGAGGCCTCCGTGGAGCAGATCCCAGCTGGCTGGGCACGACCTCACTGCAAAAGGCAGCTGAGCCCTTCTCCCTGCAGACTGCTGTACATATTCCTCCTTCCTGTGCTCTCACCATTCACCTCTGCTCTGCCAAGAGCCAGTGCTGGGACAGACGGCTCCAACACTCCACTGAGCCCTGAGTCTTCCCAGGAAGACTGAAAAAGCCTTATTTCATCCACACCCCTGCCTGTAGCCCTTGGGAAGATCTGTCACCATCCCCTCCCAGGGACGCTGCGAAGGCTGGGGTGTCCTCTCTGTGCCAGAAGCAGCTCTGAGCTGGTGCTGTGGCAGAGCTCGTGGAGAGTAGAAATAGTGACATAGGTGTTAGAATTGAGCCTTAAAATCCAACCTGATGTACTCTAATATCTGTCTGAAACTCCACTGGGTTTGGTTTGGGGTTTTTTTTTTCACTTCTGTATAGAATGTATTTCTGCTATTTTTCATTGTTTGGTCTAGAGCAGCAGCAGGTTTTTGTAACTGTAGAACATTTTGAGCTGTTGTATCCAGGTGTCAGCACAGGTCACAAGGAGCAGTACACAATATTTGTGTGAGATGTGAACAGGCAGGGACAGCAATGCCAGTTACAAACTGCTGATCACCAGCACCTTCTTACCTCAGCTGAGCAAGTTCAACACCATGTAAAAGTAAACTTTTTACAAATCACCCTCCCTGACAAATTTGTCTTGAAGCGTTTGAGCTCTCAGTGGCTCCCAACTGCCCTGACTTTTGTATAAGTTTTCTACTATCTCTTAAGGATTCTGTTCCAGTGTCCTTTYCCTCAGCAAGTGCTGGATGCTACAAATACAGTCTTAGTCCAGGAAATATGCACTGATAGCAATGTTCTCCCTGCCATCAATGTGACTTTGATAGTGTAGTTTAATAAAATGTTAYGGTGCTGAAATAAATCTGCTTTATTCCAACAGTGAGCCTGACGTGGAGTGAGTTTTGTGGCAGGAATGAGGCTTTTCTGACAGAAAAGAGCCCTGTGAAGATAAACGGGGCTCTATTAAAGTCTGGTGGGATGCAAGGAGTGAAATTTACCTTTAATTCCTTGGAGCTCAGAAGGACAAGGTGGGTGTTAGTACAGGAAAAATTCCACAGCCCTCAGTTTGGGCCAGTTCAGAAATGTCCACACMTGGCCTGAGCAGAACCAAATGCAGGAAGCAGCACAGGGGAAGCTCTGCAGGATCCTGCACTTGTGATCAAGAAGAGGAACAGACAGCACCAGAGTGCTGTGAGAGCCCACGAGTGTTCCCGGGTCACCACTCAGCCCCTCCAGTGGTCACCAGCAGCAGTTAMAGGGCAGTGAAGAGGCCCGGGAGCCTCAGCTGGAGCTGCTGCTCAGTCCCCGSCTGTAACCCCCTCCCTTCCACAGAAGCAGCACAACTGAGTTTGCACACAACTGAGTTTGCATAGTGAGACCTTTCCCTTTTGCAGAGCATTCTTTTAAGACTTCTGCCTGCTGGCACAGCTGGAACCTGGTCAGATCTTCCCAGGGCACAAGACCAGCAACATCTGTTTGCTTTCTGTATTACTTGAGGGTTCTGTTGTTTTTCCTGTGCWCTGCATTGCCAAGGTGGTTTTCCAGGCACTGCCTTTCTCTGGCCACCTGGGTGGTGATGCCGCTCTTTCATGGATATTTAACAGTACGTAAAGAACAAAAACTTCATGAAAGAGTAAAATATTAAATAGATGAAGGTTACATCCTAGTTAAGCCTGTCAGACGGTGGGATTGTTCCCAGTTTCCCAGGCTGGATGGCTGTGGACATGCAGACCTGGCTGCAGTTCCAGGCTGAGCAGAGCAGCAGAAAGGTGCTGAGGTTGGGTTCTACTTGGATTCGCAGGTGGTTTCAACAGAAACCTGATGCTGACAAGCACTTGGCAGAGCTGTCCCAGTTCAGGAGGGGAACACTGAGTACAGCTCTGTCAGAACCATCACACTCAGGAGCTGTTCATTTAATTTTATCCTCCTGTTTTTCTGAGCTGCTCTCACACCAAGTGATCTCCCTTCMGCTTCCAGTATTCTCTATCATCCCAAGCCCTGGCTGATATCCTTAAAATTGCAACTTTGCCTCAAACTGAGATAACAATCAACAACTCCAACAGTTTCTGCAAGTCCAAGTAGAAATCCAATTCCCTCATCCTGATGCATGAGCCTGCTTCCAAAACCTCATCTTGCATCAGCACTGAGCGTTCCCAGGGTAGGTCAGAGACTCCCACAAAATTAAGATGTCTGCTTTCTGTACAGGAATTTTATTGAAATCAAGGTAATGTCATTTTTACACTAATGCCTCAGTGCATTGAGAAGGAAAGGAAGGATTTTCTTTAAAAATTATTTGTACATAAGACAAGAAATCATCCAAATGAACATGGCAACAGCAGGATCCCTAAAACATGCAGAGCTGTACCTGGGGCTGAAGGAGCAGGAGCTGCAGGGAGGGGTTCTCTAAGCTTTACATTCAGGAACACAAAGAGAAGCAGGTGCCAGTGGCCACTGACACTTGGTGGATATCAAGATCCAATCACCAGTGCTGAAACTTCAGGCCAGCAGAAAACAAAGCCAAAGGAGCCACTATATATAGAACTCTGTATCTAGGACCTGCTGCCCCTGGAGTTTCCCAGTGTCACACGTGAAGGAGCAGCAGAGCCACATCACCACTCTGCCAGTGTCACCAGGACCCTCGGGCACCAACCATGTGCTCCAAGCACCGAATGAAGCCTCCCCCTCCCATACCTCGACTTCCCTGGGCCAAAGGCAGATTCCTTCCCTGCTGAATGGCATTTGTGTTTCTTCCCTGGGAAAGGAGCCTATCAGCTCCAGGACAGATGCGCCACCAGCCCTTACCCAGGCCCCTCCAGCTCCCTCAGGCAGGCCTGGCTGGGACAGAAACAGTGCCCCTGAGCCTGCATTTGGTTACCAGCCTTGGGTTTGGTTTGAAATCGTTGCAGAGAACGTTCCTACATCCTCTGGCAGAGCCCTTCTCCCTCAGACCTTGGAGGTCACCAGCCACCAACACCACCCGTTCCCTGTCCTCCAGTTCAGTGCACACCTTTCAAGAGAAGCACAAGCAGCAGCTCCCTGATACCTCATCAAGCCAGATTGGCCCCAAATTCTCTGTAGCCAGTGACAGAATTGTATTCATTGTAGTCCACAATCCACAGAAGAGCAGGAGAAGTCATCTGTGAGAAAGCAGATCCGTTCCTGCCCCCTGAACCGTGTGCAACCATCTCCTTTACTGTGTCCGTTCAGCCACCAGTGCAGGGGGAGATGAGGAAGAAGTGAGGCTGAAGAGGCAGCCATTCCAAACACTGAGGTGAACCCACACCCTCCTCCCACCTGCAGGATCACCTCCAGAAAAGGGACATTCCTCCAGCAGCAGCACCTCCACCTGTGAGTGCACAAAGCCCAGAGCCTGCTCCATTTGTCCCGACCAGGATTAACCTGGGACCTCCACATGGTGCAGCACTGAGAGCCACATGTGGCCAGATGTGCAGGAGGCTCTGGGCCCATTAGTCTGGCTCAGCCCACGCCAAAGCCCGCTCTGACCATCCCAGCTGCAGCCACTCCTGTCCCCCTCGAGGTGCAAAGCCACACGGACACAGGGCCAGCATGCACACAACCCTCCCCAAGGGTGGCATTGGGACAGCAAAAGGAACACAAAAAATCCTTTCAAGTAATCAACCCAGCCCGCTCTTGAGGTCACAGCTGCAGGAGCAGCGACCAGCTGGGTCTGTTCACGTGATAAGGCAAAAAGTCTGAAGTCCTAGAGGGCCTGGAGGTTGGGAAGGTGGCAGTGGTGACAGGCGCGAGTTGCTCTGGAGGTTGCTTCTTCACACTCTGCCTCATGTCCAAGTGACCAGCACCAGCTCCAGTTACTTCTGCACACAGCTGGGCCAGGCCAGCCCGCCACACACCGCCGACAGGATGATGTACAGGATCACCTAGGGTGGGAAAACAGCAATGCTGGAGCAATTAGGGATTTCCTGATTTCCAGCATTCATGGACTGCCACAACACACGCTTGGAAACCCCAGACTGTCAAAGSCTCAGAGAACTTGTCCAGCACCCTCCACCCCCTCCACATCCCTGCAGCTGAGAACTGTCCTCATGGAGGAGGTGACAAAGTGCTTCCCACCCTAACCATGCAGGTGCACTCCAACACCCTCACCTGGCTCCATCTACAGCTGTTACAGCTGGAGGGGAACTGTCACACCAAAAAAAAGCCTCTTCACAGTTACATCATGAGATCCCCAGGACTGAGGGCTAAAAGGCCACCCCAGCTTGAGCAGGGCACGTCAGCTGCTCCTGGGGTGCAGCAGGCAGCTCATGGACATGGTGCTCCCATCTCCTCTCAGAGGACCACAAAGGTTGGGAAAGACCTCCAGGATCATCRAGTCCAACCTTTGAACAAATCCCACCACGTCCACTAAACCACGTYACAAAGTGCCACATCCACTTGTTTCCTGAACACCTCCATGGTGACTCCAACACTTCCCTGCTTCCAACCTGTCAGGGAAGGAATTTTTCCTAATATCCAACATGAACCTCCCTGACACAACTCAAGGCCATTTTCCCAGGTGCCAGGGAGAAGAGGCCAATCCCCATCTCACCACAACCTCCTTCCAGGTGTTTGCAGAGCAAGAAGCTCCCCCCTGAGCTTCCTTTCTCCAGGCCAAGCCCCTCCAGTTACTCCTTGTAGGACTCATGTCCCAGACCCTTCACCCTCTCCTCACCCAAGACCATCAGAACACTCATTTAACTCTTCCCAGCAGAGCTGAGCACACACAGATCTCAGGACAGTGACGTGGCTTTGGTGTTCTCCAGAGGTTCAGCCTGGCACAGGAGCTGCAGGTTCCTGTGCTCCACACTTACAATGGACACGATGATGATGACGATGGTGAGCTTGAGGTTCTTCATACACATGGCTCGGGCAAGGTTCCTGCTGGTGGTTTTGAAAGTGACTGACTGCAAGAGAAAACAAGGAAAATCCCAGGATGGATTGAGTTGGAAGGAACCGAAAGCTCATSCCATTMCACCCCTGCCATGGACAGGGACACCAGAGCAGGTTGTTCCAAGCCCTGCCCAACACCTGGACACTTCCAGGGATTCAGGGCAGCCACAGCTTTCTCTGGGAACCTGTTGTGGAAAGCTTGTAATTGTCCCATTCCAAGTCTCATCTCCATATCCTGCACTTCCTCATTCAAGATGGTCTGGGCACCAAAACCCCCACCAGACTGGGTCAGTGCAGCCATTCCCACACATTCCCTGAACAGCTCAGGAAGGATTCACCTGCCCAGGGAAATGCAGCAATGCCCAGAACCAGCCATTCCAGCAGCTCATTCCACTGGGTCATGCCAGCTTTYCCCACCAAACCAAACACCCTCCACGAGGCTGCTCAGGCAGGAACCACATCCCTGTGAASTCCCTCCCACTTGAGCCCATTCCCAAGGTGGGGAATGCCAGCCTTGGATCTCCCTGCTGGGCTGTAGGACATTCACACTGACATGTATCCCATCCCATCCCTTCCCCATGGTTTCCAAGAACCAGCACTCCCTGGGACAGCTCCTCCATGAACTCAGCCCAGCTGCTGAAAGAATTCCAGTCCCTTTCCCTAAAGCATCACCTGAGCTTTCACTCCTGCCACCACCTGAGGACGTGGAAAGGTTTGAACACCTGGRAGCTGGAGGACACCATTCCCTGCTGGGTAAGCTCCAGTCATCACTTCAGCCTCTCCTGACAGCTCAGAGGTGACTGGATCCCCACTAGCCCCACATCAGAGCTCCTGGCACTCTCCCARGATGAGGATTGGAAGGTTGGATGCCACAGGAACTGGGCACCTAGCCAGGATGCTGCAGAGGAGATGCTGAGCCAGGGCCAGGGATTCCCAGCGGAAAGACAAAAAGCTTTCAGAGTGCACAGCACTTTACTAGATAACAGTGTTTTATAATTACATTAATTTGGGTTTTTTTTAGTCTTCACTTCCTCAGAAACACTCCAAGCAGCTCCAGAGTCTTTAAGGATTATTTAGATGGAACAACTCAGTGTTTTAAATTTTAAATCAGCCACACTCTCCCTGCTGCTATCAGACCAACTCCACAGATGCACATTTTCCGGTTTATCTGCATTCAGCTGCCTTCAGACTGGGCTGCCAGGGAAGTATTAATTGTGCTTTATCTTTCCTATCACTGCAGATAAAGAGGKGATTTTCCCCACCTCAGGGACGAGGGATGGGGACAAGAACGTGTCAGCCCTTGGCTGGTTGTGGCACAGAGGATCAAGGGGGATCTGGATCTTTCCCAAGCTGGGAGGCAGCTGTGAAACAGCTCTGACAGGGGAAGGATTCCCTGCAGATCTCCAGAGTCTCCAGGTGCTGGTCCCCTGCTCCCTGTGGAGCACAGCTGGTGCAGTAATACCAATTTCCCATTCCCAGGTTCTCCTCAGACTCACCGAATCAACGAGATTCTCTGTTTTATCAATCAGCAGCTCCAGCTTCTCTCCTCTTTGTGCTACAAGATCTGGGGAAAGAGACCAGATCTGAAGGTGAAATCCCAGTGCAAAAGGCTGCTCCCAACACCCAACCCCAAGCCAGGAGCCCCTGGCTGCAGTTCCCAGCCTTGCTGGGACTGCCAGGGACTTAAGGAACAGCCTCACATCACACAGGCTGCSTTTTGAGGCTAAATTTTGGTCAATGCCAGGTCCAACCCTCTCTTTGGAATGGTCACACTTGTCAAAGCCCAAACCCCAAATAAAAGCAGCTGCAGAGGGCATTTCCCAAGTGAAGCAGTACCTATGTTCCGCACCATGATCCCTTTGAGTTCATCGATCTGGGCTTGTGTCTCTGCCACCTGGTCTGGGCCTTTGCTCTCCGAGTGGTATTTCTGCAACAGAGAGCAGGCAGTGAGAGCAGAACCCTCCACAAACCAGAATTCATGGAAAACAGGACCTCCCCAAACCAGGATTCATGGAAAACAGGACCTCAGCAAACCAGGAGTCAGGGAAAACAGGACCACCCCAAACCAGGATTCATGGAAAACAGGACCTCCCCAAACCAGGAGTCAGGGAAAACAGGACCTTGAACAAACCAGGATCCAGTGAAAACAGAACCTCACAAAACCAAGAGTCTGGGAATGCCATTCCAGATGTTGAAGGTGGGTGGTTTGAGTGGCCTGACTGCCCTTCTAAAAGGAATAAAGCAGCCAGGAGCCATCCCATGTCCTGGAGCCATCTCAGAGGATCCCCCCCACAGAACAGCTGAGCACTGACTGACAGTTTCCCAACCCTTCTGGTGTGTTATCCTGAGCACCATTCCTGTCATCCCTCCCCCTCAATCCCCTTCACAAGTGACAGGGATTCACTCATTCTGTTCCCCCCTGCTTTGGGATCCCAGGGATCCTTTGGTGCCTGCACAGCTCAGGCAGGGTGAGCACAGCATGAGCCAATACCAGGTTAAAGAAGCCTCAGTGTCTGCAGAACCCAAGGAGGGRGAAATCAAGGTGCAGTCAGCAGCAGGAACTGAGTTCTGCTGTTCCTGCACGGATTTTAGGTCACTGTTCACATCACAACTGCTCTGCTCCATGATCACCCATGTGGCTGCTTAAATCCCGATTTTATTCTGGGTAAGGYTCAATTTGCATCCATTTCTGACAGCACAGGGAGTGACAGTCTGACACTGACACCCCCACCCAGGCAGTCAGCACAYAGTGATAGCACCAAATCCAGCATCTGCCCCACCTTCTCCTCAGGGGGAGATTTCCAGGAGCTTYCAGACTGGCCACCATCAAAGCTGGGCACTGGTTTTAGTGGATGCACAGCCTCCCTTTGCAGGATCCTCTGCATACTGCACTTGTGCTGGGGCAGGATCTCTGCCTCCCCCTCAGCCTCACACAGGAACCACCTGCAGAGCATCCCTGCTCCTGCACATCCCATGGAGCCACGGGAGGGAAGGGCTCTGTCATCACAGAACTCCCCTCAGCTGACTCCTGGAATATGGAAAAGCTCAGCCTGAGGGAGATGGAAAGGCTGGGATTTTAGAGGAATAACAGCCCCATTGCTCCAAAGACTGCCTGGCTCTTCTGATAATCCAATCCTCCAGCCCTGAGCAGCCTATAAAGTGATGAGTCAGCACTTCCCAYAGTTCCAGTCCTCATATATCAAAGCCTGGAGAGGCAGAACTCCACCCTCTCCCACACAGGAAKTTAATCCCATTTATTATGCACTGGCATCATAATTCCTTGCTTTCCCTCTGCTGTGGAAGCCAAGGAGCAGCTCCTGCAATGAACTCATGTGACTGTCCCTGCTCCAAAGCACCTTCACCAGTCACCCTGTCCCAAACCCCAGTGCAAACTTCAGGCAGGAACAATGCAGGTGCAAATCCTCCCTCAGAGCCCTGGCCTCACCCTGCAACCCTACACAGAGCTGGTACAGCTGGGAGGGGTCCAGAATTCCTACACCTGGAGGCCAGAGCTTTGCTGTCCCCACCAAAGGGCCCCTCCTCCTGCCCCTGTGACACCCCCAAACCTGGCCCTCTCCAGAGATCAACAAGAAGAGCCCCAGCAGGGCACTGAGAGCCTTCTACCCCACAGGCACAGCCCAACTACAGTGGGGGGACAAGCCCTAAGGCAAATATTCCAAGGACATCCTGTCTTYAATTCAAGGGACATCTCAAACCCCCCAAGCCAGCACTGCTCAGATTATGAAGTTGTTTGTAGTCAATTAAGGCTCTGAAGAGTCTCCAGCATGAGATCCAAAGGCCTTTCCTAGAAAAGCCTGAGGGTTGGAGCACTACCGGCACCACTGATCTTCCAGGACACTGGGCAGGCAGTTCCTTATTCCTTCYCTAATCTTCCAAGTGACTTGCTCCATTCCCCTGAACATTACTCCCTGTAACAGCAGCCCTGTCCTTCCCCAGCCTTGCTGGCCCTGCACTGCAGCCCAAATCCCAGGAAAAGCACCAACTGCACCATTCCCTCTGCATTCACAGCTCCTGTTTCAACAACAGCCCAATCCCACACCAAAAAGCTGCTCCCTGTTCCTCTCCCCCGCTGCAGCAGGGCAGGGTGTTTGCAGATCCAGGTCACACTGCAAGCCAAGTTAATTAGAAGAAAGCTAATGAAGTGCTCTGCGAGATGCCTCTGGTTCTAGAAGGGTGATGCAAATGCTGCACTGAAATCCTCTGGAAACTGCATCCAAATGCTGCTGGGAATAAAATACAGAGACCAACACAGTTATCTCAGATCTCTGCTGTGTGGCAGCTGTGGGCTTTGCACACCCCAAACACACAAACCCAAATTCACAGCAGCAAAGAGCTCTCCTGAAAATGGGCTGGGCAAGGCTCTGTCAGAGTCCTGTGGAAATGACATCAGCACAGAATTCCAAGAGGGAAGCAGATTCCAGCCCAGCCCTGTCCTTCAGGACCCCAAGAACACACCCAGAGTAGCCAGAATAGTTCAGAATTTTTTTAAATGGGACTGTGACTGATCTGCCTGTGCAGAATCTACCCTGGAGCCACGGCAATGGAACAGCTCATTCTGCCCACAGTGCCTGCTCTTGGAATTCAGCATCGCCCTTGACATCAGATCAGCTCCAGAGGAYAAACTGAGGCTGAAATAAATACTCCCTCACTTTTGCAATCCCCTCACACTTCTCATTTTCGGGATGGAAGAGTCCAAGGCAAATCTCAACTCAGGGACCTTTTGTAAGTCATTTATCCTGCCCCAGAAATGCCTTCCTTCCACTCCGCCCATTTGGGGAATGGAAACCCTGGAGCCTCAGTGCAAACCAGCTGGAGAGTTGACCATGGCTCTGTACCTGACTGTAATCTAAGCCCAGACTTCCTTCCTGCTGCAAAGGACACAGTGCCACSAGCAAACATCCTGGGACACTCCAGCAGCCACTGGAATTGCCATGGAGGGCAAGGAAGGGAAGGGACAGGCAGACAGGGATTACCAGAGATTCAAGTTCTAAAGCTGAACAGAACTGGGGTACCAGTAAATGGAGTGTTGCCCTCAGTGACAGTGACATTCCCTTTCACTGGTTGGTAACTGGAGCCAGTCTAGACATTTCCAGTGTTCCCATCAAGCTCTGCTCTCCAGTCCATCCATCACTGGTAACCCCAACCCATSTTCCCTCTGAACTCTGATATAACCCGGCTGCAGCGTGGGAGCAGCCTGGCTTCAGACCCCCTGGCAGGGAGAAACCACGAGGATGATTCCTGGGGGAAGTTTGGCTCCAGGGAAGTGCCTGAGGCCAGGCCTCACCAGCTGTGCAGCCAGGACCGAGGAGAACTCGCTGTTCATGGCGTAGGGGAGGGCGGTCTGCGCTCGGGAGCCGTACGTGGTCTGGAAGCGCTTCTTGATCTCGTTCAGGAACGTGAAGGCCCTGGAGCGCTCAAAGTCCTGGGGAAGGAGAGCAGAGCACGTCAGGAACAACAGCCTGCCCAGGGCATGGGGGGTCTGCAGTGCCCAGTCCCAGCTGGCCTGGCTGGGGGTGACACGGGCACTGTACTGCTAACCCCGGGCTCTGAGAGCAGCCCCAGTGCACTGCCAGCTCTAGTCCTGTGCCTGGCACCTTCCTGCACCCAGGGGAGGTCTTCCTTCAGAATTCAGGAGCACCAAACAAATTTCACTGCAACTGGAATGGTCTCTTCACCATCAACCCACTGCACTGGGAGAGAAACTGGGCAAAGGCAAGAACTTCACCCCAAAACTCATAATGCACAGGCAGTGGAAGGTCCCTGCCCAGGCAGGGCTGGGAATGGGATGATTTTTAAGGTCCCTCCCAACCCAAATCATCCACGACTCTGATCGGAGCTCCAGGCTGAGTTCAAAGTAACTGATGTTAGAGCAGCTCCAGTAGCAGAAAAAGGCACCTCAGATCAGCCCTCACTGAAAACTGCCATATGGATACCAACATTCCCAAACTCCCCAGAGCCTGCCKGGGCCAGGGCTGTGCCCCAATACTCACATCATCTGTGATGCACAGGTAAATGATCCTGTCCTGGCAGATGTAATGGAACAGGTAACTGCRGGGAATTGAAAAGAAGGAAGGAAARGTCATTCGAAGCTGTCACAGGACTCATTTTCTAGAAGACACTGCTGCCTGTGAGGCCTTGGGGGCTGGGAAGAGAAAATCCTAGTAGTAGATGCCAACATATCCCAGGCAAATGTCCAGGTAAATGAGGGTGGGGCACCCTCACTTATCCTGGCACAGATTTCTGGCCTGAAGGTCTATTCCCATAAAAAAGTTCAAAAATCCTTGCACATCCACAACTCTCCTGGAAGRAATGAGGAGCAGTTGTCTGGTACCACTCTGTAGACTCCTCAGAGACACAAGAAGGATCCCAAGAGCAGAGACAGAGCAACTGSAAGAATTCCCAATGCCAGAGGGCTGCTTTTCCTTGGAGATTGTGTAAAAACCACAGAAGTTAAAACCAAAAAGAACTCAGTAAATAAATTTAGGGAGTTCAAGGAAACTCAAGTTTTTCCTGTTTCAGAACAGGATAAACTATCTTGGGCAGGTTCCAGGGAATCCTCCAGACAGGAGAAACAACTCCCTGTGCTCAYTGAGCTTCACAGCTTTCCCAGTTTTCCCCAGTTATCTCTAAAACTTCACTACAGCACTCTTCAAACACAAGTCTTCAGCTGGTTGAACAGCACTCAAGGCTAAGTTATTTCCTTTCACAGACYGGAGCAACTGTGTCCTTAAAATTCCAGCAGGAAAGAAAAGCTGCAGCACCCAAGGTGTGCCAGACTCCAGAGCAGGCACTTCCTCAAAAACATCTCMCACAGGAACTTTCTGTGTCCCCAAGGCACGGAGGGATGTGGGTTCTCATCTCCTGAATCGTCAGAACACCTCTGACACAACAGCTTGGGCACCGGAGAGGATACAGCCACGCTGCCAATTCCAAAAAAAGAGCTGGAATGGATTCCAACACCTCTAAATTTGTTCTTTTCCACAGTTGTTTTAGTTTGTTCCCATTGACTCACTGACTTCCCACATGCAGGAAGTCCCAGCTGRTGAAACTTTTTACCCCTCTGTCCTACAAGCACTGACCAAAGGCTGTCCACAGAGCTGGAAAAATCCTGGGAAAAATCCCTCAGTCCTGCAGACTGCATTTGGGGCAGCTAAGGAAGGTTCCACATGATCTACCAGGATCCACAGGCAGACCAGGAAGGGTGACRGTTTTACCTAAAGCCATGTTCAAGCCTCAGAAACCCAGGGAAAGCTTCCATAAGCCAAACTCCTAAGATTCCACAGCYAGGCACCCTCCAGCTCACTTTGGAATTGTATAAAAATGAAAACTTGATTTTGCATCAACTGCCTTGGTGCTCCTGCTGGAGCTAAACTCAAATCGTGGYTGTCCTGCAAAGTTCTGGGCAATAAGAATAGCTGCTGAGCTGACTGCACATTCCATCAGCATTCCAAATGGGAATTTGGATGGAAAACATTCCAGAATGACAGAAAAAAACCCAAAGACACACCCATACATCCCATACTCCCAGTTTATTCCCATTCCCATCCATCCTCACTCGTGTCTCCCAGACCCACACCCAGAGGAGAGGGGTCACTCACCTCCCATGGGAATAGGTCAGTTTGTTGTTCTCCGATGGGATTTTGGCCAGGATCTGCTCCGTCACCTCCAGGAAGTTCCCTCCACACCAGGCGTGCTTGGCCAGGATGGTGGTGCCCCTCGCCACGACAGCGAACAGGATGGCCATGGCTGCCCCTGCTGGGGACACCAACAGCGGGGTGAGCTCAGGACCTTGGGCAAAGGGTCCTGCAGGGGGGCACGGGGACCCAAAGGGGGCACGGGGACCTGCAGGGGGGCACAGGGACCTGCAGGGGGGCACGGGGACCCAAAGGGGGCACGGGGACCTGCAGGGGGGCACGGGGACCTGCAGGGGGCACAGGGACCTGAAGAGGGCACAGGGACCTGAAGGAGGGCACAGGGACCTG